CATCAACAACTGGCATTATGATTCAAATAGATTCCAAAGCACTTTGGGGAAATCCTCAGTGTCCCTGGCAATATGCGTATCTCCTAATATTTGTTCCTCTGGACCACGAACCTAGCAGTCATATACTGTAGTTCCTTCAAACATTGTGAAGTTAACTGGTCAATCTTAGACCAATCTTATTTCTTCTTCAATGCAACCTGTTTCACAGAGTTGCTATCAGATTAGGCCTCACTGGAGAAAGAAAGACATAAAGATGTAAAGAATAACCTTACATGAGGTACAACAGGAGCATCTGAAATGTCTCTGACTCTTCCTTCCCAATCTTTCTCTTTCAGGATTGTTTGTCCTTCCTGACACTTCTGGATTTTTTGCAGGGAGGGGCTGTCTGTGATTGCGTATTCTTTCCATATACATAGTCCCAGCCAAAAATCAGAAGTCTGATAGCACCTTTTCTAATCAATGTTATTAAAAGGCATAAATTTTTGTAAGCTGCAGCTTACTCCATAAGATGCATAAAGTGGATAGACCAAAGTAGGAGTTAAATTGGGGTGAGATGGGGGGAAGGAAGGGGAAAACAGGTTGGTTAGGCAGATGAAGGTTGGACATGAGACAGATGACAAGGACCAATAATCTAATGAGGCTCTCCTACACAGTCCCAGCTAGATAAATTCCAAAGGCAATGTGATGATTTCACAGCGAGACAGAAGCAAAAGGATTTGGCTATATAACACTGCTGCATAGTCCTTTTAAAGTGGGATAATGCCTTTTGCCATCACTCAGATTGGATTAAAGCCTTGGGCCATCTATTTGCATACTGATAAATAAGTCATTGAAATGGAAATAAATGGGATTACACAAAGTGCTCCCATTTTTGTCCACCTGTGATTTTTAAAGAAGAGTCGCCATGTGGATTTGCTGACAAAACCATTCTCTTGGCACCATGAAGACTCACAGTGATCAAAGTGTGTCAATCTTAAATGTCCTGCAGAATTCGTTGTGATTTGGTGAATTCCATGAAATCAGAGTAGCTGAATCAACAGTGAAAATACAAAGTTAAGTAAAACCATACCAGTAATTTTCAGTAACATGCCAAGCCAGTAAAGCCAACCAAACTATTTGTAACTATTATCATTTACAACTGCACACCTCTGAAAACCTGCATAAAAGAAGTGATTTGCAACACATCCTGAATCTTACAGGGTCAAGTTTAAATGGACTCCTTTCAGCGTGGAGTTTCGTAATGTTACTTAAGGACAGCCAACCACATGTTCAAAGCATGAATCTTCTACCAGTGGGTTCTCCCAGAACCAGTTTTATTTTATTTTTGTACTAAACTGGGAGAATTAAAACCAGAGAGAAAGAAAAGAAGATGGACACATGTAGTGGAAAATTCAAACAGGTTTCCAGAAATGGGTGAGGCTAACAGTGGTTTATTTGTCTGAAAAGGATGAAACCCGCTGTTCCAAAAAGGCATGTGGGAAATAATTTTTTTGCCATACTTCCTATGTGGCTTTTGCAACATTTTCGCCCTCCAAATGGATGACTTGTCCACTGCATCAGTCTCAAATTTCTGTATTTTAGCTAGGCCAGAAAACTGAATTCTTTCATCACCTCAGCATTTAGAACCCAGTTTTTCTTGATCCAAAAAAGGGGGATTCTCACCAGATGCTGAAAAAGGCAGACAATTTGATGCAAGTGGTCTTTGATGCAAGTGAGAGGTAGTGAATCGTGCTGATTGCCTCCCACCCTCCATCCACAAGCCTGCAGCTTCCCCTCCAGCCCTCGGTCCCATCTGTTCATTCCAAAGTGAACTCTCAGATTTCAGGTTAATGCAACAGGAGATCAAAAGCTGGATGGGGCAGGTGGGATGGGATGGAGAAGAGGGATGGCGTAATGACCTCAAACTCTAAGGAAAGAGTCCCTTGGGACTCAGAGGAACAACAGGATATAACCAGGCTGTACTGCCACTTTCTAGAAATAAGGCAAGTCCATGGGGCAGCCTTACAGAAGATTAGTGCCCAGGAAGGAAAGAAAGCAACAGAGACTTGCATGATTCCAAGATCCTTTATTTACAAATATACAAAGTGAAGCAGCATCTGTTCTTCAAAGGAATTAGTGCATTCTTAAAACCCTTTTATTAAGACCATTTCTTATCAATCAGCTACAAAATCTGGACTCTTGCCGACGCAGGTAGTTGTGCTGCAACTGTTTTTCTCCTTTTGGGTAAGTGGACAGACCTAACCAGGACCTCCCATCTATCAAGAAACTTGAATGTGTCTGCTAATCAATGCTAGTGAAATGCTATTAGTCATAACACAAAAAATCTGCGTTTTAGCTTTTCTTAGAAATCAGTTCCATGGGGGCTAATAGATCAAGCCTGTTTCAGCTTTAAGGACCCCAGCCCATAAGCCGGCTATCTAGGCTAGGGCAGGAGCTACAGCTTTCTCATCTCTTCCAGGCCCTCTGCTGTATGAAAGGACAGAAATAGGCAGAATCCACATTTAGAAATACCTATGACCAACAAGGATACCCCTAATTAAACCTGGTTGCATCTTGGCTTATGTCAAGGTTATCTTGAAGCCTTTCTGGCAGTGGCATGTTACCAGCCCTATGACAGATGGAGTAAGGCCTCATTTCTTTACCAACTGCTTTTGTGAGAATCGTCTGAAACTTTTTTACAAATGGTTTTATAAAAAGTGTAAATTCAGTAAATATATTTCTCTTGAAAAGCTTGGCCTTACACTGAAATGTATTCAGAGTTAATTTCTTATTTAATTATTAGAATACAGGTAATTTAAGGGGGTGATACCTTTCTTTTTGTAAAAGCTCTGTGTGGTATTTTATGTGGATGAGGATATGTACAGAGAGGCCTGTGAAAGGAGACGATATATGTTTATATATACATTAAGTGGAAAAAAATGGGAGGCGTTACCTTGAATGGATGTTGATTCCCTCTCAGCCATGAATAAAATCAAGTGGGGATCCCTTTGGAAAGGTAACTTGGAGATACAGTTGGCCACCTATATTCTAGAGTAGTCCCAGAGAGGTTCTACCACTTGATTATTTTGAAGTATGGATTCATTCAGAGACCTTAGTGATACTAGGATGTCAAATTTATTATGGTTGGTCACACAATCAGCCAGATATTTACACTGGATTTGGCACTTTTATCCACCTATTGAGTCCTTCCCAAGGACCTGGGTTAGGCAGATGTTGTTTGATGGTGTTAAAGGTATCGTCACAGGATGAAGCTGGTCCAAGTAAAGCTGCCTTTTATAATTGACTGATGGTGATTTTGTCAATGCCGATGGTGTTCAAGTGGTGCTCCAGATGTTTTGGTATTGTACCCAAGGTGCCTATTACTATTGGTACTATCCTTGCTTTCTTTTTCCACAGTTGTTCTATTTCTATTTACAGGTCTTTGTATTTTGTGATTTTCTCCAGTTTTTTCTCTTCTATTCTGCTGTCTTCAGGTATTGCAATGTCCACTATCCAGACTTCTTTGTTATTATTATTATTATATTTATTATTATTAAACCCATTACAGGATAAAGGCCTCTTCGTTGAAGATTATGGTCTGTAATTTACCACGTTGTTCCCGTGCAAATCACAGACAGATCTTTTTTGACTTCCCAGTCTATGGCTGAGAAAGAGATACTCAACCAGTTTCCATGCCTAAGAGAGGACTAGAATCTGAGTCTCCTGTCCTAGTCCATCTAATCCTGCATCTTAACCACTTCACCACACTGGCTCTTTTATGCACATATAAAATGTTTTTTTAAAGGAATAAATAAAAATTAACTTCCAAGAACTAAAGTGGAGAATCTCCTTCCTTTGCTATTTTCAAAAAATACTTGTACTTCAAATACACAAAACATCATTTTGTAAGCTTAACTGAATATTCATCAGAATGCCCAACCCCAGGTAAAGATATTCCATCTTAATATCTCACAATGAAGGATGAGATTTAAAAACAAAGATCATTTTATTCACATCATGATGCATTATTTATTTTGTCCCTTTGAAGAATTTATGTGAGAAGAGTGGGATAAACATGTTCTAATTCTAACAATAAATATCTCTGGTTCCACCCAAGATCCTGCACTTTCTTCTGATACAAAGAAGACCTCCCTCTGTGCTGCAGAGTCAGACAAGGAATCTTAGACAGAACCCCACACACCTTTAAACTGGAGTCACAATTTTCACCTGAAATACCTGCATTGAAAATGCTCTTAAGGCATTTCCACCCTAATACTGCTTTCAATTCTGCAACAGTAATGAAATACAGTGATACCTCGGGATACGAACGCCTCTGCTTGCGAATTTTTCGGGTTACGACCAGCTCTGGCCCCAAATTTTTACCTCGGTTTGCGAACTCCGCCTCGGGGTACGAGCCATTTTCCGCCCGTGCCACGTGGTCCGCGGCTGTTTTTCCGGCCCTGCCGCGTGGTCCGCGGCCGTTTTCGCGCTGTG